CTTGGGATTGCTTGTACCAGCCTACACGGAACACTTCCAGAACTCCCTTGCACTTTCTCTTCTTACACCCACTGCCTTGCTACTGTTTACATTTTTCCCTGCCTGTGTCAGCGGCTAGCAGACCAACTCCTGGAGGTTCTGCGAAGAAAACCAGGATATAGTTCAGCACACTTATAGCACAGTTAGCATAGATAACTTCATTGCTGAGTTGAAAGTTGTTCAGAGAGTAGGTAGGGACTTAAGTGCCTCCAGCTGGCTGGTGGTAAAAATTACACTTAAAATTTAAGATGATAAACATAGGATGATGATGGGACATCACTTTGAACTCTACTGTGCTTGAGCAGTTGCAGAGGAGACCCGCAGTCGCAAAGAGAAGTGAAAATGTCACACCGGTAACAGCTCTAAAATAGGTTGGGAAGGGAGGAGGAGAAGGTCCGCATAACTGAACAACAACAACGGCAAAGTTAAGCATCTCAACAGAGAAAACTGTCAGCCTGCAGCCGAGCTGCAACAGCCAGAGCAGCAGTACAGTTCTTCTGCAAGAGTTGCTCCATATCTTTGCCATTTAAGTTTATCAAGGTAGGACACCAGATAAAGAATACTCATTGAGTAAGATTCAGGACACCAAGCTCCATAAAATAAACATTAGAAAACGCATTTATTGACTGAGAGTTCAACTGGGATCCATTTATAAAATGGATGTAATTTTACAAAGCTCCTTGACTTTCAGCATCACTGTGACAACCTGAAGAACCCCCTGTGCAATGAATGAAGGTGCCAATTACCAGGTCAGATGCAGACTCTAGCGCTGTGATGTTAAGGTTTTGCTGAGCTTTCCCAACATCTAGAGCTACACCTCCTTTTCCATATCTTGGACAATTATGCCAAGTTCCAGTAACAATTTTTTTTTTAATTCAGATTATAAAACCAAATCAACTTAACTAGATTTCCTGACATGACGTATCAATTTCAACAGTCTTAGGTGACCATCTCCAAGGAACTATAATACTTAAGTCCTGTCAGGCATTCATATGGGCTAACTTAAAGAAGTAAGTCTTTTGAATGGGCAAAATACATGTATTGTGACAGTTCATTTAACAAACTTATTCTCTCCCTTCATTAAGACTCTCCTAGATGGATGCAACTGAGCATGAAATAAACCTCAGTGTTTCCATTCCCCAAAATAATCCCTTAAAACAAATGATTGAAGTACATTTAGCCTGTTCTTCAAGTACTTTGCACTGGCCCCAGATCCACTGAAATCACTGATTCCTTCCCCTTTCACTTGCTCTCTATCACCACCCCACACCCCCCCCCCCCAGCGATAGCCTACACCGTCAGGAAAATTTAGTCCTGGGTACCAAGCCAGTTTTGGAAACTTTTTCTTCTCCTCCAGTCTTGTTCACCTACTGAAAACAGAGGGAATCTTCTCTTGATTTTGGAAGTTTTGTATGATTAGTCCTAAGAGACATGCTGGCAAGTAATATTTAGCACCGGAACTGAGCCTACTTACAACATTTTCAGGAAGAGCCTATATGAAGTGCTGATAATCACCAGTTTGATCAAACGCAGACCACCTTCCCACTTTTGTAATACACAACTTTAAAAATACACAACCGTACATCTCCTGACAGCGATGGACAGATTGTGTATCACTGTTCAGAAATTTAAATCAGAATTTTTTTATACTTGTTGCCTAAACACTACCTAAATAATAGCAGACCATTTTATAATCTAGCAATAATTTTATTTTACAAACCCCTTTATAACTCATTAAGGTTGGTGCCAAACTTGGCACCGGTACCAATGATTTGCCAAAGCTGGATTATCCCATCATCTCTCTCAACAACAAAGCAAAAGCAGAGAAGTACAGCTTTCAGGATGCTAAGTCAAGGACATTTAAACAGCTACACTCAATATTTGGCTGTAAGACAAATTGAGCGGAACTGTCCGTAGCATACAGAATGCTATATTAAACTTTCATGGTAGGTTTTCTTTATTACCAGTATTGAAAATAAGTCATGAACATAAAAGCAGCAAGAGAAAAAGTTGGACTAACTGTAATTATTTTTTCCCCTCGGTCTTTCCCTCTCCCTCCCTTCCAAGTTCTCAGTGGATACAGAGATCAAAGTGTATGCTGTGTGAGAATGTAAATCAAATCATATATTTAAAATGGATTTTAATTTATGTACAGCAGTTACCATTCATGAATGTTACACAGTCCCTGCGATTACATTCATTGTAAGGTAAGTCTTCACTTGTTTCTACTGAATCTTCTGATGGAGAAGCAGAAAGGAGGGGTGGAATCAAGGAGTAAGGAATGATCACAGTCATTACAAATTTTGGGCATTCGAGTAGTAAACCTCAGAGAGTCTTCTACGAAGTTCCAGAAATAAATGGTGGCAATGTGTATATATTGCAATTTTATTTCATTCGCTCAAACAAAACGTTAGCATGTAAGAAATTTAAAATGACACAATATGATAAAAATAGCAGAGAATGAACTGAGAAACTAAAAAGAAGGTAAACCTAAATGCATGAAAAGTCAACATTCATTAGTGATCATCTTCAGTCTTTGATTGACACTTGATGCTCGATAACTTTGTAAAACAATGAACTGGAAATCATTATGACTATCTGAAGAGATTTCAGCACCAGCACTAAGATTTTTACATTCAGTTGGTTTGCAGTTGACTTGGTAGCCACTTGTCTATAGTACAGGTTTATCACAGGTCAGATCACAGTGTTGAGGAAAGCAATGCCTTCCTGGCATTAGAAAGGATCCCTTAAACTGCCCTCAGCTTAAGACATCCGTTGTACAAAAGCACAGAACCACCACAATATGGTTTTTAAAGAACTTAGTTACCAGTAGGCAAAATAATCTTAGCTTCTGCAGTTCATTTTCAATACTGAAATCTCTAGAAACGGTGCGACTGTCAGTAGGACAGGAAATGTCTACAGTAATCTTTAATTCAATCCGATTTTCTGGAAAGAACCAATTCGGCAGTTTGGGATTACAGAAAGTACGTATGTAGAAGCAGCACAAAAGACGACATCTGTTCCTTTTTCTTTTAAACAGAAATCATGTTAATTGTAGACCAAGGCACAAAACGTTTAGTGCATAAGCCAGTTCCTTGCACAATCTAGTAGTTCAGCCTTTAATTTTGGACCACTTGTACCCATTCATGCTATTCCACTATGCTACTCCTGAACTCTCCTAGAAACAAATCAAACATGATTTCTGACAAGGGTAAACGTCCTTAATGCTCAAAAAGTCCGTGTAAAACAAAAAGTTACATCAACAAAGATGAAAATGCCTCCTCTTGTTTTGAGAAAAACAGTACTTGACAAGCTTACTACAGATTAATTTTTTAATGCCTTCAATAAATGCATGCAGAAAAATGCTTTTGTTTTTCTTTTTAAAAAATGATTAATAAATGGAGTTAAGCAATATTTCCACTGGAGACTTCTCTTAGAATTTGAACCTATAGAAACAGGAAATGTTTGAATTGGAGAAAAATTTCCTATTGAAGCCTTTCCAAAGCTGTAAGTGCTGTTTTGCTTTGGTGTTCAGCACTTGAGACAGTATGTTATTGAAAGCATTTGTCCTACGAATGGAGCTGCGTATACTTTTAAGCTGAAAGATTAATCTCTCCAAAACTTGCAAGTAAACTTTTCTTTTGGATCAGCACAGATGCCAAAGCAAACATGGCACTGTTACGGCTCAGAAAAACTGACAGTGAAAAGGAAAAGGGAAGATTTTGATCCATATTCCTTGTCCAAAGCACTACAGATCCAATTCACAAAATTTCTATCCCACTTAACTGTACCACATTCAAAAAAAACTTAAAAAAATTTAAATTACAAGCATAAAATCCAAAAACCCTGGGAAACAGAAAGCTATCATCTCCCCCAAAAATGATTCTCAAATTGTTGACCAAAACCAATGGCATACCATTGCTGTTGTTCAGGGTTTGGGTTGTGTGGAGCTGTGGGGTTTTTTGTTGGGTTTGAGTTTTTTTGGAAGGAGGGCAGCAGATAAATTAGGAGGAGAAGGGGACATTTTCTGTGACCTGATGCTCCATCATTCTAAGGTAACTAACTGCTGTCCTGTTTCATCAAACAATCAAAAAAGGAGTCTCAGAAAAGAGTGAAGCAGAGGGTCATGGTAAAAAGGTGAAGGACAACGCACTTACACAGGGGCATCCTCAGTAACTCAGATGCCTACATGTTTGTTCTCTCACGGAGAAATGAGTTAGGTTCACACGGGAGTTTCAGAACCGTTATGGAAGTATTACTGAATTTCAAATAGAAAACTGAAAAAAGATACAAAAGGATTAAGTACCTGGTTCCATTAACATGGTTACTGATAAAAGTCACATTTTCCTCATTATTACACATGCATGTAAGATGAAGAAAAAGTGTAGAAAGTAATAAAAATGTGTCACCTTCCCCCTCCCTCATCCCACATCTTTCTGGGCATAAATTAAGCCTTACAAATGAAAAGGCTACTCTGTGACATGCAATTTTTCTTTTAATTAAAAAGCTGGCTGTGTTGTGTTACATTACAAAAATGTCCACATGCATAAATCTAAAAAAAGCCCCAAAATCTACTGTAAATCTACAACATACTAATGATTTACATTTGACTGCTGATTCGCATTATGTAGAAGTCTTAGATTTGGTAAAGCATTGTAACAATGTAGGAAGGCATCTACATCTTTTAACTCTGGACTGTATTTGCTTTTTTTCATTTTCCTATAAAATTGCATGAAGGCTAACTAGAGAGGCTTCCTATCATAAAATTCCAAAATCTTGATATGTCATCACTGTCTAGGTCATTCACTTACAAATATTGCCCTTTAAAAGCACGCATTTCTAATTGTTCCATGTTTTGTGAACTGAACTTCTACACATCTGATCTTTTAAATTATTCATGGAAATATCAGATATGATAGGAAGACAAACCTGAGATACATTTGAAGTACAACAGTATAACTTGCTAACTCCTTCATTAATAAAGAAAACCTCTCTGAAAAGCCTTCCCAAGCTTTTCCCTGTTTTTTGTCTTAACAAATTCTGAAACATGTGCAATTTTATCTTGACATGAGTAGACTTCAAAGCACTGTGATCTTGTCTGATAGGTGTAGCAATTTCTGCATAATCATTACAGTAACTTTAAGAGTCTTTTCCACCCTGCTGTAAAGGTCAGAAAAAAGCTGCAAACTAGGAGGGGAATAGCATATCACCAGAGTGATGTGTCTGAAGCTTTTCAGAATAGGTTGTTTCTCCCTCCTTCCAAGTGTGTCTCTGTCTGTCTCCGTTTTCTTCTAACAGCTCACAAAACGTAGTCAGTTTTATACCAAGTTAAAGAGTCACATCGGCTTAGTACTAGTCTTTCTATGCAGTATTGGACTTGCTGAGTTCCTGCCTGATAGCTAGAGAGAGAAAGAGAAAGATAAGTTAACAAATCAAATAGTCAAAGTCAAGGCAGAAAGCCAGAATACACAACTGACCCCTTAAAGAAGGCTCACCCTGCTCCACCAGTCTTAGAGCATGAATAACCTGCACGTAAAATAGCTTTGCGTGGCTTCAGACAAGTGTCATTCTCAACCAGGCAGTAGTACCCTTTTTCCTGCTGTAAAATTTTTGTTAAAATCTTGTTTTTCAGTTCTGCATCTCCAGTAAGTCCATGACCTTACCTGATGATAATCACCGACACTGGGATTATTAAGGACCATATGGGTGGGCTCATTTATTTTTAATTTTGTTTGTTTAAGAGCAGCCTCAGAGCCCTCCCTTGTTTGCATCGTGCTGTCCTAAAAGGCTGTGGTACACAGCATGGTCAAAATACAGGGAAGAGTACTGCATTCTCTGCAGCCAAAAACCAGTCAGCGCTTTCTAGGACATCAGTTGATGACATCTGATATTTTACCAGCAGTGGTATCAGTTTAATATGACTTCCCTATGACTGAAAACTGGAAGCACAATCCTAGTCTGAATATTACCAGTTTTAAAATATGCACCTCAGCAGCTCTGGATTATTTAAAAATAACCCACCTGCCACCACATGATACAAGGATAACTACAAATCACTCAAATACAGCATCCCTCCAACCACTTTTAGAAGACACTACTTGGTGTCAATGTGCTATTAAAATAAAAAGCACAGGAGAAAACAAATACGGGCACATCAATCAGAACAGGTCTGGCACAAATGGAGTATGCCACCAGACTAACAACAAAGCTACTTTTACCAATAATTCATTCTCAGGCTAGAAAGACATTATATTTACATTGTTGTGCACCTGTAGCTACTTTCTAAGACTGAACACCAACAGCAAACAGATTGATACCTACCATCAATGAGTTCTTCCTTTAATTTCGTTAACTCCTTCCTCATTTCATCTAAAATGTCCTATGGTGTCAGAGCATAAATAATAGATTAGTTTTGCAACATGAACAGATTAGTAATTTTCTGCTGAGAGAAATCAACCTTTAACACTTCTGAAATGCATAACGCAGCCTTTATCTTCCAAGTTACTCCCCCAGATCTAAAGCATCCCTAAAACATTCTTAATGCAGGTACAATGAAGAAAAAAAACCAAACAAAAAAACCCCAAACAAACAAAAAAACCCAAAACCTTCCATAGAAATCCTACAAATTGATTCCTGTGGAACTTATGAGAGAAGGGACATACTGACACTAGAATGTTGCACTAAAGTAATTGCTAAATAAAAAAAATTAAAAAAAATACTTGGCACATCCCTTTAAAATGAGAGCTTTGCTACAGATGGAATGTGATGTGGAATGCAAAAAAAAAAAAAAAGTAGCTAACTAAAAACCGCAAGCCATGAAAATATTCAAAGAAAATAAGAAAAAAAAAAGGAAAGATCAAGTTATCAAGGTATTCCCAGTCACTAAGTTGAATGTGAGGGAATGAAGGTGATGGAGTGAGGTGCTGTCCCCCGCTTGCTGTTTTCTCCAGCCTTTCATCCAAATGATGTTAACGGATGATTTGGTGACAATATTTTTACAAGCAGCATGGGGGTTAGTGCCTGTTTCTGCAGTGGAGACTGTCACCTCCTGGCCAAATCTGTAACTCATCCAGATTTCATCTGTTTCTTTTTCAGCTTTGGGGTTAGCATGCTGTTCACAACTCTAGTGTACTCTAGACTTGCTGAGTCTTTTATGAGCTGTTGGTGGAAGACACATGCGTGGACACACCTTCCCTGCCCAAAGTCATTCCTGGCATAATAGTGCATACCAAAGCTGCAGAGGTACATCTCCCAATTCGCTAAGTCTTTGATGAGACTCTTGGACAAGCGGCAAGAAGCCTCAAAGCAGGAGCACAGCCACCAGTTGCTGGGAAGGGCAACGGCAAGTAAGAGCTTGCCACATGTCCAGTGGAAATAGAGCGTGAAACAATTTTGCCTCCAAAGAAAAGAATCTCAACAGAGGCAGCGATAGTCAGTGTGCTGGAAAATCGGGAGAGCTGTGCTTTATGGGATGATAGGATCCCAATCCTCTGTGCCTTCAACTCAAAAGAACCAGAGAAGAAAAAAAAAGCACTCCAGAAAAAAAAAAACACAACAACCCACAACTGAAAAAAAGAACAGCAGCCAGACTGCTGTCATCAGCAGCATTTCATGGAAGCTGTAGCAAAAGTACCACACATCCTCTTGCAATGACAAAATAGGAATGCCTTTGAACTAGATTCTAGAACACACACAGAGAACAACCTGTGAGCCAGAACAGCCTCCTGGACATGAACCCGATCTAGAACCAACCACCAAAACAGACTCTACTCTAGAGCTGATCTCTGACTCACAAGCTGATCTAGAACCAACCACGAGCTGGACCATACTCTAGAACTCTCCCTCCCACTCGGGGACCAGCCCATTGATCCAAATGCCACTTGAAGAAGATCACTCACCTCCAGTTCCACAATTCACACTCCCTCTGAAAAACACTGCTGCCAACACCATAGCCCTACAAACAACAAACCCCCAAACCCACCAAGTCTGGAACCCACCCGCTGTACTACCAACCACTGCTCTACAGACTCCTGAATGTAGAGCCCTCTGGCAACAGCAAGCACATCACTTTCCCCTTTTCAAGGGCAGGGATCCAACTTCAGCAGAGCCTTGCCTGGAAAAGGGGCGGATCACACCCACAATACACTGTGTGCTCATATTCTCTGTCAGAAAAGTAACTAGCACCATCTCAACATGCTCCCCAAGAAAAGGAGCTTCCACCAGCTCAGTATGGATGAATGTGGCCAAAAACCAGCACCAAGACCTCAAACATGACTCCTCACACCACACAACTCAGACTGGCACTCAAGAAAGTACACTACTGTTTTTGCCCAAGCCTCACTCAGCAAGCCACCAGCAGGCCAGCGACCCCCACCATACCACCCCTCTATACCAGGGACACCATGCTGAAATGCTGCTCACCTACGGGAATCAGGTTTCCCTGCTGCACATTGTCCTCACCGTTCCCAAAGACCCTAAAGATTACTAGATACACCACAAAGCACAATAGGGCAAAAATACAAAGCAGCATTCTCACACATGGACGCCAAACATCTTACACAAGTCTGCTCAGGTCGGCATCAGCCCAATTCCCCAGGCACCAACTGCTCTCAAAAGGACATCTGCACTGAAAGCACCTACCAGCAGCAGCAAAGATATCATCTGAGGGCCTCCTCAGCAAATGGGGACTTCTCAGTAGTTGGAGGAACACACATACCCTACACCCACTTACTCCTCTGGGGGCTCCTGTTCTAGGAGTGTGGAACATCAGATCAGTAAAGCTCTTAAGTGATAGCTCCTCTCTTCATACCAGTCAAAAGAGATTCCTCGCCAAGCCTCTGGTTGCACGGGTTTGTCTGTTTGGCAAGTGTACTTGACAAAGGCCTGTCATCTACAGCTAACTGTTACCAAACCATTTCCAAAGCAACCCATAAAGTCTTTTCCTCATCTAACAGCAGGCAGCTGCCGCCTTCTTCCCACAATACTCTCCTCTGCTCTTACCCAGGATAGCTACACAAAAGGTGGCATCACTGGATGCTCTTTCACAACCAGACCATGACCATGGGTGCTCACATCTGATATAAAACATGGTGATGCTTGTTCTACTAGAACTGCTGTGAGGGTTTGTTGTTTGTTTGTTTGCTTGTTTGTTTGGGTGCTTGTTTGTTTGGGTGGAGAGGAGAAGAGAAGGAAAAGTTTTCCAGGCAAACCAGTTTCCCAGTTCCATCCATAGTATCAACATCATCTTGTGTGTGCTGTCTAACGCGAAACGCAGGAACAAGCATCTGTGAGAAAGTAATGGGGCTGTGTAAGCCGCCATCCTACTGTTATGGCTTTTAAGAATACTGAAACACATCTGGGGAAAAATAATGACTAATAATTACTAAATCATTATTTAAGTTTGGAACTAGTTAAGAAAACAGTTAAAAACTGATACTGGACAGCTACAAGTCCTTATACCCAAGGTTTTCTAGTCAAAACATTATATACGTACCTGTTTCAATCTGTCATAATCTAGACCTTCTGACTGTACTCCATTGGCACTGGGTTGCCCCGTTGGTGTAGATTTTGGTCTGCAGTATAAAAACACATCCATGAATTACTGGTCACTCATTATTACAGGATAATAGGACTTTCCCCATCAAACTTGCTAACATTCATCTATTAAAATCATAGTAAAGAATCAAAATGAAGAAAAAAAATAAATGTTGGGAGTGGGAGGGTAGGAAATCAGCCAGACCGAAAATACCACACAATAGAAAGCAACAACCAAGAACATTTTCCACACACTGGAAAGATTAATTACCATAAGAATGAGAGTTATTAATTCAAAACAAGAACTTTTCAAGAAACAGATTTCACTGTCAGTGGTTTCTGATTTTTTCATAATGGGCATGAAAAGCTGAACGCCTTCAAATGTCAGACACTTTCCCTTCTCCCTTTTCAACTGCTTACTCATTTCAAAAGAGGCGCTCTGAAAGCAACACTCCCACTAATGACTACATGTTGATGCTGTAACTGAATGCTATGGAATAACCCTGGCAGATTTTCAATGTTTGAGCGACCTTATCTAACTCCCTTCCAACCTAAATCATTCCGTCAATTGCTTTCTCAAGCTACTGAAAGCAAATACTTAACAGCAGAAGGATTTATAAAATAATACTTGAGAAGAAGTTCTGGTGTTTTGGACTATGTCATGTTCAATGTTTGTTTACGCAATACTCGAAGACATTGAAAACTTGCTTACCCAGCAAGATTAACATGCATTTTTAATACACATTCCAGAAGAAGCAGGTTTTCTACATTCTCACTTCTCTTTTTTGATCCCCTGTTTGTACAAGGTGTAGCTCAGACTCACGTACTTACTATGCTTCCACAGGGCCTTGCATACCTACAGCTATGAGCAGAGACAGAACCTAGATGCTAACAGCAGGAACACAGAAACGGTTCTCCAAAGCAGGGATGGATGGATAATGTGGGACAAAGAGGGAGGAATGTTCTGCTGTTCTTAATTACTTTTTATATCTTGGCTAACATTCTCCCTCCATTACTCTATAAAATGTTAAGCCCAAAGAAGTTGATAAAATTGCTGGCAGTTCATGTCAAGAGGTTTCCCCACTGTTTACAATTATCACAGTATGCTAATGTTAAAGAAGGGCAGGGTATCAGTAGTCTGAATTGGGTTCTATTTCATTGTCCTTGTATGTGGCATCACTGAACAAAAAAGCCTGGCCTAAATTCAGTGTCTCACTTCAGAATTCTTACACAGGATGAATTCATTAAATGCTGCATTTTTCTGGAGTCATTACCTGAAGGTACAGCATTATTTATTACAATGGAAGGTGGCCAGGAACAACAAAAAAAAAAAGACAAACCAGCAGGAAAAGCACAGTTCTGTGCTTTATCTTCTCTCAAATACATAGTATAAAACTATCTTTTTCAGAATAAAGAAGAACATGTGAGAGACACAAGCAGTACATCCATTGCTTTAATTTTTCCATTTATGTATTTTAATTTAGCTGACAAAAAAAAAAGATGTGTTCTCACTCAGAAGAAAAAGGATAGTGAACCTATATATATTTGCTTGTTTTTACAAAACCACTACCTTCAGCTTTCATGCATTTTGCCTTACAAGACAGCAGTTCATGCATGAAGAAATTGTCTGATTACACTGTCTCTGTTCAGTACAAGTAGAATAAGCCTCATACTGGATTGTCTTGATGACTTTTGTAACATGACAGGACTATTTTCTTATTTGCTAACTGAAGGAAAACACTCAAAATGCATCTCCCAACAGAAAAGGGCATGCACACTAAAATGTCATTTTGATATTACACAAACTTCCCCAGGTTTGTGCTCTCCAGCAGATACTTTTAACTCTTGTAGGTTCCCAGGGTGAAAAATGTTAAGAAACAACATGGGACACAAGATTTGCCTGTTTCCTCCTCCTAACCTGTAATAGGGCGTATGGCCTGTATCACTGAAGAGCCTGACACATTCAAAAAATTTTATTAAAAACTTCATAGCTACCAAGTAATTCTGGTTGACAGGACATTTTGAATTGGTACATCCAAGTCCATTCATCTTTTCAAAAGGCGGTAAATCCTCTGTAGGTGGATTTAGGTGGTGTAGAAACCTCTCGACAATTGTGGGTGGTTTTTTGTTTTGTTTTTTTTTTTTTAAACACTTCATGATTATTTCTGTGCACTGACAAGTTAGTTACGTCAAGCCTAGTGGCACCCATTTAGGAAAAAACTGCCAGCAGTTAGCCATGCAAAACAGTGTCAGCAGAAGGGATTGTGTAACTGTCCCTTTGCTGCTGGACTTCGCATCAGAGAGGTGCACAAACATCCTATGTTATTAAACCAGTTCGGTTCTTCACTTGGGATCACACTGCTCAACTGCTACAGCTGCTTAGACGTAAGTCTAAAGCCGTTTAAACGTATGTTCCAAGAAAGAAATTGCTAACATTAGTATTGCTTGAAACACACCAAAATGAAATACATGATCCAATGAGTAAGACAGAAGACAAAATATTCAATAACTTGATAGCAGAAAAAGCCGGAAAATAGAATTCACCTTGTAACCACCAGAAGATGTACAGCATGCGCTAATGCTATGAAGACAAACCACAGTTTGGGATCTTTTCCAAAACTCTTTAGGTATCGACAGTGCTTAAGTTCCTTATGAAAGAATTCCTTGCTCAAAAAAACATTCGTCAAGACGAGATCTTTGGTAATTGCGGCTTCATCACATATCTGGTATTTAAAGTGTTACTTGCAGTTTACACCTCCAACTGTGAACATGACTTACTCCAAGTAGAATAGCATAAGTTTTTCAGATTCTCCATATACAGTTTCTAATCATTTCCACTATCACTTGTTTCCCATACACTATGGCATTACAGCATTTACCCAGCGTGACTGAAAAAAAGAATCAGCATCCCTCTCAAATGCAATTCCTGGCAAGTGATAGCAGGGACCACCTACGTGCCTTAATGGAAGACCCCAAACAAGAATATATTTTAATGAAATTGCTTTAAAGAAGAGCTCTCCACAGACAGACTGCTTCATGTTTCTTTTGCTTCAGATGTTTATATTCTAAAGACAACTCTACCAATCGTACACTAGATACACCTGCTACCTGTCAAAAATCTCAACAGGAAAGCCCCTTTATAAACTCTACCACTCAGTCTTAAGAATGTATTCCATTTCTGCTTTCTGAAATGCAAAACATTCTTCATTCAGTCAAATATTAAAGACCGTAATTTGTAAACTAGATAATTTCTGATGTCAGTCAAATCTAGCTTTCTTCTCTTCAAAATTATCCCTTTTCCTTCTTCAGCTCGCTCAGAAGAAAGATTAATGGTGAATGCAGTTGCCATTAAGGAAAACATTAACTACTGAAATTTAGTGAATAAAACATCCCAACCATTCAAACCTAACATGGCTAAAGAGCTCTCCCGTGTGGTTTTTCATAGCATTGCCTAACAGGACAGTGAGGCAACCTCAACAGGCCCTAAAGCACCTTAAATCAAGCATGCAAGATAAAGATTTTATCCATGCCAACATGCAGAATACACCACCCAAGGTAAGTAGCTAAAGGGGAACTTTTCATACAAAAATAAGTAGTCACCACAATGACTGCCTTCATGAAAAACAAAGCTGGAATTTGACTCGGTAATTCTGAGGGGCTCTGTAACCTGTTTACCTGCAGAAGCTCTTAAAACCTGAAGGCTTTTGATGTATTTTATGACTACCACTACAGAGAGTGAAACTGAGATCTATAGGTTAAAATACACATGATTTTGATTCTAATTTGTGAATATGTTCCCAACAGAAACATTTCTTTATCTTTGACAAGGATTTAGGTTTGTTTTGTTTTTTGTTTTTTTTTTTTAAAAGGACTTTCTGATGTTTAAATCAGACAAAATCTGTTATCTTTACTTAATTTGTGAAAAGCAGATGTGAAAATTCACCTGGAACATTAATTGCTATTCCTGCGTACTTAAACTTACATTTTTGAAAACCTGCTTCTCAAAACACTGTAAATGTTTCACTAAATCTTGGCATATCCAACAGGAATTTGTACCTTTGCAGGTGATGTCTGCCAGAAAACCAGTATTTAATACGAAATAATTCATAGCTGGTTCTTAAGCAGTCTCAATTTGCCTTTGGCACCATCTGCTTTTAACCAGTTGAAAAATAGGCTCAACTGGACAAACAAAACGTGTAGAGGAACTTGGTGGTGCGTGTGGTGATTACCAATCCATGTAGAAAAAGTCCAACCCTGAACTGGTCAAAATGGTTATTACAAAGTCTCAAATCCCAACAGGATGATACCTGTTTAATGAATCATAGAACCTGTTTTCAGAAGCAAGCAGATTTTTCCACGGAGATTCCCGTCTACGAAGGGGAGAAACACTACCTTAACAAGCTATAATAGGTCTTAATTATGTTCAGTTTTAGCACCTTAAATACCATGGAGTTTAACTAGTTGTGTTCCACGAGTTCTATTTGAATGTTTCAGGAAATACTAAAAGCAAGCAGCTTAAGTCTTTTCAAAGTCTGCTACAAAAAAAGGCCTGATTTTAAAACAGGACACTAGTTATTGTAAAACGCTTAGAACACTCATTTTGAAAAACTCCTTATTGTCTACCTGTTCAGAAGCTCTGAAGAGAAAGTTTTGCTTACTTGCCAGTTTCTTAGGCATGCTTTATTTAATTTCTGTAAATGACTCATATCCTCCCTGTAGAGGTCAGAAGCAGGTTCTCGAGCCTTACCAGGTGGAAGACATCCCCTTTTGGCAAACACAGTACTAGTGTTTCAAACAGCAGCACCCTTTGACTAACTCACTCAAAGTTACTTAACAAGCTGCTTGCTGAGTTCAACTTGGCAACTGTGAGAATTAAGGAAAATGCAAGGATATTCAAGAGAGACTTCTTCTAATACATTTTCTTTCTCAGTCCATGAAACATTCCTCAAACCATCAACATTGACTAGAAAACTGTACTAGCAGTCTTAAAATATATGCTATGGCACCTTCCAGCAGGTTATGACAGCACTAGAAAATAATACTGACATTCAATCACGGAATTCTTATTTTGGAAGTACTTTTAGAGTATACATCCAGTGAGGCTCTCAAAGCTGAATCCTATCAACATTTTCCATTGGATGACCGAAGACAAAAGTTTGATGGAGAGATTTTCTCAATTATGTCTCAAGAGAAGTCTCAAAACTCCTCTAGGTCAGAAAACATTTCTAAACAGACCTCAGTAACTTCTGAATTTCACCGGTTGAAACAAGAGCAATGAGACAGGATGCATAAAACAGTTCACAAGAAGCTACAGCTGTAGGGACAGGTAGAATGAAGATTGAAGGACATCCCAGACTCCCCAAAGGAGTCTGATATGGAGAACTGCCCTATTTATTAATCCCTTCACTTTCCTTTCTTCAACTGCTTATCCATAAGGCATCTATAGCCAAAGGGCCAGGCCAGCAACTATCTTAAACAATATGAAATCTAAAATGCTCTTTAGGATTCCTTACACAAATTATTTCTATGACAAGTTCAATGCCATGTATTGATACCTCAATCTGCTTAAAAAGAAGAGACCTCTGTTAAAGCAGGTGAGACCTATGGGGGGCGAGGGGGAAGAAAGTAGGGGGAAGCCAAGGCTATAGGTAAAGCAGTATTTTGTTACACTGATAGGATAGCAGAGGGGACATCACCACCAATATCACCTGCTTTTTGACAAAAAACAAAGCAAGCAACCAGAATCAAGGCTGCAGACATTTTAAGCTCCTGGACTACTTTATTTCTGAATGATAGACAAGGATACTGATACAGGCTAAGAGTGCTTAGTGCTCCATTTTAGAACCTCGATGGCAATCTCGAACCACAAGTAATGCCACTTAAAGAACAACTGTCTCTTCTTCTCTAATCACCAAATCTCACATAGCTGTATCCAACAGGCCAGAATTGTGAGGAGATTCAAGTAATTTCAAACACATAATTCTCAAGTTTAACATGTTCTTTTGTTTTCTCTCAAGAAATTCAGATAACTTTGTCAGATTATCACAGGTCAGTATTCATTACACAGAATATACAGGAATTCTAAACTGAACCACAAGCCTTCTGCTTAATGCAAATGGCAATTAAATATACCTCAAAAATAAATTAAAAAATGCTAAAGCAGCCATTTCATTCTTTTGCACTACTGAAATGCCTACCAAAACACCCACTGCCTATCAAAGTTCCAGGTGACAAGTTACCAAAGATTGGTTAATGCACTGAAGGATGTGTAATATTTCTACACTTCTTTAGGATGGGCTTCCTTGGTTTGGTATGAGACAGCTACTGAAAATTGTCACGGAATCAAATCTTACCAAGATGGCTTAAATATCTAGATAACCATTCTACGACTAGCACAGAAATAGAAGAAAACCTATTCACTAGATTTACTACTGAATATATGAATCCCAGCACTGAATTTGGTTCTTCCTTTGCAGCAAATTTCAGACTTTAAAATTTAAAGAAATAGAAAGAATTAAACATTGCTGTAGGCAAACATACACCTTAATAATTGACGTTATACACCAGCAATTTTTAAGGAATCTTTTTGGGTTTTACTTTTGATTTTACTGTCAAAATTTTCACTTACTACCAGTCTCCAAAAGCAACTCTTCATTCCTAATTAAAACTGCCAAACACAATTTCACAGCAGCAATTTGAAACCCATACATTTTGCTTTTAATACTGTTAAGGTGATTTTTGCTATTTTAGTCCGGTACCATTACCAGCATTAGCAACAACAGCAAACGTAGGGAAAAGATAGCTGGTACAAAAGGGAGTACCTGGAGATAACGGGTGACTTGCTTCCATTCACTGTATTTGTTCTTTCCCAAGGCTTCCTTGTTAGTTCTGGAAAACATAGTGAGAAGATGAAAAATCGCTTTTTCTATCCATTGTGTAATTTACATGAGGAAACTTCAAGTACCTGGCAACTTAAGTTAGCCTTTTTTGTGTGTGTGTGTTACTATATTGCATTAGTTCTTTCATATTAAGCTACCTCCTGTAGTATTCATCTTAATTGTACTACTATTTATGTTGCGATAGCATCTTAAAGTCTTTTGTTCTAGACATTGTAAATGCTGTTTGATTCTTAATCCAACTGGAAGGTCTACCTACGCTTTGTGTATCTGATTGCTTCAGTTGTGAAACATGGAATTCCGGAACTATAACCAAATAGTCAGCTTCAAATACTGAGGGAAGATGTTTTTAAGATAAATGAGTTTTCCTGAGCTGTTAATGAATTATATAAAACGAATTCAGTGCCAATTTCAATGAAGTGACAGCAGGGATGATACCACCTCACACAACTAGAATACCTTTCAGCAACAAAGTAGCTATTTCCCAAAGTCTTGTTCCCAAAAAGATACTTCTAAAGTTGCAATGTATCATTTCCCCCTTTCAAAATAACACAGACTCAAAACTAAAAGGTACATTGTCCTGGGATCCAGGAGTGATTGTAGTTTACTTGCCACCTGTGATACCTGCCAAAAGTTTTACTTTGCGTCTTTACTGTGCGTCTTTTCTCCCATCTGAGCAGCTTATACTCTATGGGCAAGCACTGCAGAAAAGGACTTCTGAGCCCAGTCTACAGGCACGAGTCTAATTTGTAGCCAAGTTTAAAAAAAAGCCCAACCTATCTTTATACATGCTCATGCTTCACTTTCCATTATAGAGCCTGATCTCAGTTCTGCTTGGAATCTGCTCTGACAGACTTCGACCTGCTATCCTGAGTTTATTTCAGTGATCTAAAGTCACACGTGAAAGTTAACTTTATTGTGCAGGTTGGTTTGTCAACAGCAGACAGACAGAAATCACAGCCAAAACAGGGCAAACAGTTCAGTTAAGGACTGTTCATTTTGTGTTCTTGCATGGTGAATGAGATTTTTTTTCCTTTAGTGGTCTCCACCTAAGTGCTTCCTCAGGACATACCTACAACCACAAATGCTTCATTCCTGACAGATCAGGTTTTCATTCCTTACAATCTGCACAAATTAGAACAGTCTTTCTGTAGTGTGAATTGTCATTACTTACTCAGGACTTTAATGTGCCACTGAATTATCAGTCTGTATTTCCGATTTGGGGTTTGTTTGGTTTGTTCCCTTTCTTTTGTATTGCTCAGCTCTGCTAAACTGGGCAAGCTGCGGGGCAGAAATGCCCTTTCAGAGTCTCATATTGGCCAGGAAGTTCTCTAGGATGCAGTTAAGATACTAAGAATATCTGATTTGCAGAAGGCTGCTAGCATAGCCTGTGACTTGGCCAACAACAGGTTACCAGTGCTAGTAATAAGTCTTAAGCTTAATTTGATATACCAGGCTTCAGGACTTGTCCTGCCATAGGAATTATTCCAGCAGGATTTTAGCTGTATCTACAAAATTGAGTAACTTTTGCTATGGCCGCAGCTTGCTCAAGGACCACATGATTAGCCTTATCTAGGTGAAACAGCAACATTATCCAAGGGCCATACATCTGTTGCCTATCCCATGGGTTTGAGCTTGTTTTGTTTATATTATTATCTTATATGTTTTAACTTAGGTTTTACTTAGCCTTATGTGACTGCACGTTTCTTCCCCTAAAAGGAATATACTATATACAGAAATGGATTAATATTTGTAAGTAATCACGGTGTAACCCTCCCTGTAAGCAACAGGAGAGGGAGAGAGAGCATATAGCCCCTTAACACAGTTGAAATATATCAAAATAAATGCAAGGACACCCCAGCTCAGGACAGAAGAAATGTCTCCCGTTTCAACATCATACTCCTCCTGACAAAGAATGTGGAACTCTGATAGTTCATCAGTCAGCACATCAGTCGGGTAAGCGCAACGCCAAAGAGGTAAATGCTAGCAAGTCTGGGTATAACAATTTCAGTTATATTACTAATGAAAATTAGACATAATTGCACATATTTTTGACCTGGCCTCTGCTCAGTATGCCAAGCATTCCTCTTAAACATTTTAAAGCTGTGTTCCAATAATGAGGCACAGCATTACCAGAGCATTTTACATCAAGAAATGAAGTAAAATCTCTCCATTGGAAGGAAACAGTCAAAACTCTGGATGCATTTGACTTTTTAAAAAAAGTTTTATGAGGCTTCTTATCATGACAACCAATTAATGGAACCACTTCCACTAGTTTTGATTTCCCTCTTTTGGGCCTGTATTATTAGAAAAAGTGTTCCAAAAGCAGTCATTTCCTCAAGGCTAATATCATCTCTGTGTTTAACAGAATAAAGCAAACTCCTAAGCTGGGGGCGGGGGGGTGGGGTGTGTGTATGAAAAAAATCAATTTGTATCAAGTCATTTACTGCTTTGCGGTCTAATTTCTTTAGACTACTGGCTGTATCTCAATACTAACAGTTTTCCAGTTATTTTGATCCGGACACACTTAGCTCCTAGTTCTCCTTTTTATCCCAGAGGCAGTGGCTACCTGGGTTTTGTTCACCCTACAGCAGTGGTTTTCAATATTAAGGCCTGCAAACCATCAAGTGGCTGAATCATGTAGTGAAGAAGTATACACATGGGCAAGCAATCAACAGAGAAACATAGAACATACTGAAGACTGGTATATTCATTACAAAGTTGTTTTCCTTCTGCCCCCAGTATCTTTTCAGATGACAAACTGCAGGTTATATGGTACATCCTCCCCCTTTTGTATGCACATAAGGGGAGGCAGCCAGGGAAGCTAAGGGTACAAGAGGTATTACTGAAGGACAGGAAAAGAAAGTCTTCAGCGTCATCTGAGACCTTGTAACACAAGCATTTACAGTATGAACATGTATGCATGCCGACAATACATCTTGGCCAACTACAGAATTGGTGAGAGGTAAGCTTTCCTTACTGACTGCAGCAGCAATGTTGGCTGTGCAGTTCCAAACTCTGCCACAAGCATACCTCAGCAGAGGAATCACGGTTAAAGAATTTCTACTCCATGCACTTACAGTGATTTAGAAAGGACACTTGCACGTGAGGGAATCTTTACTAAAGTACCGAAGCGGCAACTGTTTCTGTCTAACTCTGATAGTCTTGTACATCTGCCTTGAAGGAAACAAGCTACTGTCCCAGCTTGTGTCCTGCAATGACTGAGACAATTTGCTTTCGCATTCACTACCAACTGCTCTCCATGCATGAGCCCCATAGGTTCGACACAGGAGGGCCCTGTACCAAGTATGGTGTTCCAGTGGATGTTCTTTTTCTCTCATCTTCTGAAAGACTTCTGAACCAGTACTTGTTCTACAGCAAAATGCCAGGCTGTAATGATGGGAGAAGAGGTAGGCTCCAAAATTCAGCACAGCTGATGGAGATTAATCAATAGGTTTTAGCATTATAGAGTCACAGAGTTCACAAACCTCTGCTACTTACCAGGTGTGCTTGTTGAAGAAACCTTAGAAGTTGAAGACTCTGATTCTTCCTGATTAAAAGGGATGAGAGAAGAAGGGGGAGAGGAAAAAGAGAGAAAAACACTTTTGACTCTTCTGAATCTGAAAGATTAATCTCAACTGTTTAAATATTTATTTCACCTTATATATATTTTTAAATTGTTCTGCTCAATTGTATGTAGAAAAAGTGCAAGCACTACGCACTTCACAAAATAGCAGTTGTGTGTATATATATATGGTAAAGTATAAGTAACCTCATGTACACCATTAGAGTCTTTCTGATAATCTAGTACTGAATAATGTGAAGTAGATAAAATTTCTCAACTCACAGCTTTATCTTATATATAATTTTAAACTGTTCTGCTCAATTGTATGTAAAAAAAGTGCAAGCACTACACACTTCACAAAATAGTGGTTGTGTGTGTGTGTGTGTATATATATATGGTAAAGTATAAGTAACCCCATGTACACCATTAGAGTCTTTCTGATAATCTAGTACTGAATAATGTGAAGTAGATAAAATTTCTCAACTCACAGCTTTATCTTCTTTCTGCTCTGGTTCTGTTGATCCCTTTTCAGCAATTCTTCTCCTATAAGCAGAGACAAAAGTTACCAAGATCATCATGGCTTTAAGATGGAAAAATGTTGTTTAGTGTAATTAAAGACACATACAGCTTGAGAGCTAGATAATTGAAAATTAGTGTTTAAGAAAGTACTTTCAAAATACTTTCAAGGACAAAGCCCTCCTGCCAAAGCGACGGTGCAAATTCTTTCTCCTCTTGAAGTCTGTATCCCCTCCTCTACTGCTGCACAAAGACTTACACAGAAGAAAAGTACTCAATTACACTCAAAAAAAAAGGCTATTCATAAAACGTTATCAACTGCACAAAGCAACCACATGAGCAACCCAATGTTGATTTGATCCTTAGCCAGCTGCAAACAGGCACCCAAAATCCTACCTCTGCAATGACTAAGCAGCTGGAGCACAGCAGAAACAGCTCCTTACCTCCTGGCCAGCAGGGCACTCATCTCTTCCATCAACCCACTGCCTCCCAAGGGAAGTGGCCCATTTCCACGGCCACTGTCTGTTTTAGATGAAGCAGAGCCGCCTCCTCCTCCACTTGAACTGGAGGAGTCTTCACCCTTCATAATACACAAAATAACAGCAGATGTGCAAATAAAATTATAGCCGACTTAATGAAAGCAGCAAAGTTCACACATGAGAAAGAAGCAACTGTATAAAGAGTGTGATGGGCTGGTAGTACATCCTGTAACACTTTTTTATCAATTAATTAAAGCCTACCCCAAAAGTCTTGATACTGTTATTAATCTTGAACAAAAATTACAACCAGTTCAGGAAAATGGGATTTAGAGACAGGAATCACAAAAAAGAAACTAGAGTCGTATTTACCCGTGAGACTTTCCTAAGTTTGGCTCCAGCAAGCGCAGCTGCTAGTCCAGTTAAAGGGCGATTTTCTTCGGGCACGAATCCCACTGAAAATCCCGAAGTGGGGAGGGGGGGAGCAGGAGGTGGAAGGGGAACGGGAGGAACTTGGCTAGGAAGTGGAGGAGGCGGTGGTGGTGGCGGCGGAGGCCCTGAAGGTGGAAGTGGAGGTGGTGGTGGTGGGCCAGGAGGAGGTGGGGCTGCTACTGAAGACTGAGCTGGGCCAGGGGGTAGGGGGGGTGGGGGAGGTGGTGCAGGTGGTCCTTGGACAACACCTAGTATCAAAAAGAAAGCAAATAGACTATGTTAAGGATTTTAGAAAAGAAAGATCTTATTTCCATTGAAATACTGGTTCTTTTGCTCAGTGTATGATAATACTGGTAAGGATCCTTTTTATAGGCAAGAAAACACTGCAAGTTTCAGCAAAAATGTTCTTATTAAACGCACTAAAAATATTACATAGTACACTATGAGAGATCAGAGAGTTTCAGAGACATTGACATACAAAACACCTTCAGTCAGGTTCTGTGCTGCAACCAAGACGACTCTTACGCCAGGAAACAGGCAAAGCTTTTATTAAGAGTCAATTAAGGCAGGAATGTCATACCTCGTAGGAACAATACTGTGTTCAAAACGGTGCTAAACACAGAGTGGCTTTGCATTGTACTGACAAGCATTTAACACACCACCCAAACATCTGAACCCTTGAAATGTTTGAGTTCCAACGCTAATTTCCAAGCTGTATAAAAATCTTTTCTCTAAAAAAACCCAAAACCATTCCAGGAATCAACTTCAATAATTTAAACCGAACACTAATTAGCAGCTTAGAAGACTGACATGTTTTAAGCTGATGGGAACAAGCTCTTCCATCTTTAGCTATGATTCTTCTAATGCTTTAAATTCACCCTGATATGCAATACAAAATGCGTTTTGAAGAATATTCTGATGATTACTGTTTTATGAATATAGAAACAGTTTAAGAAATTGTGACTAAGAAAACAGTCCCACACATCCTCCCCCCGCCTCGCCCAAACTGCCATAAGCTACTAAAAGTGCTACGCAACCACCTTAAGCAACCCCTATGGAAGGAATTTCATACATAAGTCTTCCTGGTTTCCTACTCCTGTTAGCCACTGTGTAAATTTAAAAGCCTTTTAAACTCTCTTGCTATTCACCATCACTCCCCATTCAAGTGCACACTTTTATTCCATACTACAAGTCAGGCCATTCACCCTGTTTCCACTCCACCCTGGAGTAGCTCACACCTTCATTTAAGACAAGAGGGTGTACACAGGATCTACTCTGCGTGGCTTATGTGTGATGAAGCCACAGCCTGCTCATCCCCCAGGAGCCCCTCTGCCCACACCTTTAGCTGAGCTACTGTAGACTTACATACAAAGAGCTAAATCTATTAAATCGCTATAAAAGCGTCAAGTTAACAAAGACATCTACATCCAAACACATTTCTGTCACATTGGTACAGTGTCCATTAAGACTATCACCTGCTTAACCAAGTTTTTCTTCTGAAGTCTTTTTTAGCTACGCTGGTAGAATACCACAGGAAGACCTGTCTTTATATCATAGAATGGTTTGGGTTGGAAAGGACCTTAAAAACCACCTATTTCCAACCCCCCTGCCATGGGCAGGAACACCCTCCACTAGACAAGGTTGCCTAAAGCCCCATCCAACCTGGCCTTGAACACTTCCAGGGATGGGGCATACACAGCTTCTCTGGGCAACCTGTTCCAGTGCCTCACCACCCTCACAGTAAAGAATTTTTTCCTTATATCTAATCTAAATTGACCCTCCTTCAGCTTAAGGCCATTACCCCTCGTCCTATCACTACATGCCCTTGTAAACAGTCCCTCTGCAGCATATATATGTGCACATACAGCCATATATCAAAATACGACCACTGTACAGAAAGAAATGCTGTAGGTGTTACATGTTACTTTCTAAATTTGAAACTACATGGAGTATCAAAGCGGTTCA